AACAAATGTTTGATGGAAAATATTTTGAAGGTACTTGCATTTATTGATCAAGATTTTACTTACCCATGAAGTTTGATAACCTAACAGATTCAAGCACTATGTTATAACATTGGCATTTCTAAATGAGAACCCATAGTACCATACAGTTTGCAAGCCACCGTTGTGATATAAAATTATCACTGCCTTCAATTAAATTTATCACTAACAACTAATCAAAAACAAAGTCGGGGCTAAAACATTGTAGGCTAGATACTGAAGCACTAAGATTCTATTATAAAAAGATATCCTAGGGATTGAAGAAGTTGCTCCAAGTGAACAAGCCCATGTAGTTACATGGCATTTTACTCACTCAAATCATAAATTGAACGACATTGGAGATCTTCAAGTACAAACATGTAGGTAAAAGAAAATATGTTAAATCTCTCAGATGCTACTATCTAGATGAAGGTTAATGCACTTGTTTCCCACGTTCTGAAGATGCAAGAACCAAATAGTAAGACATGATATCAATGAATATCAAAGAAGGCATGGAAAGAAGCAAAGGCACCATGAAGGCCCTAAACTCAAAAGGGACCAAGGTGATCTCACTCCATAAAATAGGGGAGGAGCAAAAAGAGAGGGGGAAAACACCAAAAGAAATGTGGAAAAGGAAATGAAAAAAAGGAAAGAAAGAAATGATAATTCTTTACTTGCACAGCTTCGCTAATTCCGTTCCGTCACTTGTTTAAGTTAATATGCAACCACATAACACCATCAAAGATCTCTCTACTACTTACAGACACTCCAAAATCCATGTTATTAAATTTTTTGTTGCTTTCTCAACACTTGTACTATAGATACAATATATCAAAGGAGATGACAAATAAGCTAGACTTGCCCATCAGATTAAAATAGATCCTAGAACTAATTTGCGTTTTGAATAGGATCTCATATGTTCCATATTGACAATTCTATTGGTAATTGCCCCTACAAACCAAAGCCTTTCTCCACTATTCCAATCTCCAGACTCTTGTCCTTGAGAAATAATTTACATGAATATAAGACTCCCTCCTTTTCTTTTTCTAACTCACCATCAATGTGGATAGACTATTTATTCAACACCATTGTTCTACACTGATTTAAGAAAAAATAGGACAGGCTAAATCAAATAGAAAGGTGAGCCAACTTTTTCATCAACTTATAAACTAACAAAACTTAAATAGAAGATTATGAATCAACAATCACTATAATAAAGACTAATTATAGGAGACATTTAACATGCAGTTCGTGTTTACCTCGCCAGTTTTTCTTCCAGAAAATAGAAATCAACCTTTCCTCCTCCAATGATAAAGCACAGCGTAGACTCTATAAGACACTTCTTGAAATTAACTAATTAAAACGTTAATCATATTCCTCTATCTAAAACCAGGTATAATTATCAGATTTCTAACAAGGCATCCTCAGAATCTCAGGATACAAATTCACACCAATTGTGTTCTAAAATGTTAACATATCACATAGTCAAAGAACAAAAATATTACCACCTTAGTCAGCATCAGATTGCTAATGAGTAATGAATATAAGCGCTCAAGCTTCTTATCCTGCTTTTTGTTAGCTAGCGCAATGGAAAATCTAGCCATGGATCATCCAAAGAAAGAAAGAAAAATAGATAAACAACCATAGAAACACAAGGATTTGATGAGGTTCAGTAATCAATGTGACTCCCTATGCCCGTGGAGTACTACCAGATGACAACTGCACTAATAATCAATGCAAGAGTACGGTCCATCTCTCGAACTCCAATCTCACCTCCCTTTTCTCTCTGTTTTCTCTCTTTTAAACACTAGAGGGTTGAAGATACATATTTATAACATAGGGTTTATGTCTATTAGGCTTGATAAAAAAATTTAACCAAACAAATCGCTTAGGGGTTGGCCCCCCCACCCTGAAGTTGAGGTGCAATTTGGTAGGGATTCAATTATGAGTCTTGGTGCTTGTTATGTATTCTTTATGTAAATCAAGTTCCACAAACAATACTTTTTAATGATTACGTGTGAAAATTCCCAGGCCTATGAGTATGATAATTTAGCTTGAACATGACAGAAGCTATCAACAAATCAGAAATATGGTTGCCTACACCGTTAAATTTTACTGAATTTAACCATTGTCATAGCTTTTTGGAATAGTTAATCCTAATAAAGATCACTAATATTGGACGAACATTGTTAGTAACATGGTAGCAGTTACGACTACTCCTACATGACATTTCAGCTTCCAATTATCTTTCTTCCGGTCTTTTCTACTCAAATAGCACAATCTATTTACTTCAACATGGTAATGACGAACGAGGACCAGCAGATATTGGATTAGATTTCTCTTAGCATGAGATGAATTCCCTTTGCATGGTATTGTTAATTTGTTGAGAACATGCTTCCAATTTTCTATTTGTCTACTTAAAAACAATCACCTGCTTAATTTTCAAAAATAGGCTAGTTTCATCTTCAGTTCTTTCCCATAGACTCCTAATTACCAGCATGCTCTCACATCAATAAAGAGTTATTCTTGAATATTTCATATTTACAGACTCATATATCGCATAATGCACTATAAGAACTTCATTTTCTCAAACAAAAACCATAGTCTGCTTTTGAACATCAGACCTCTCATAACCCAATTCAATTCCTTCAACATTGAGCCAGACCAAAGGGCTACATTGCAAACATACCCAAAATTAGAGGAAGGAAGCTGATTATAAAGGTCTGGAGTGCAACCACACCAGTTCATTTACGCAATCTAACTCCACTACCCTTATCCACATATCCATATATTAAGGAATCTACATTTATAACTAAATATGGCATACAATAAGAATCTATTTACTAAAAGAGGAGTTAGACAAGGTGATCCTTTATCTCCTCTTTTGTTTGTTTTGGCAGCTGATGCTTTTACCAATATGTTGAATTTAGCAGCTGAAGCATCTCTTATAGAAGGATTGGGTCCTATTAATATGTCCCAGAAGGTTTGATGCCTTCAATATGCTGATGATACTTTAGTTTTTTGTAAAAACAATAGAGATCAGCTGACAGTCCTGAAACTGATCTTATACTGTTTTGAATTAGCATCTGGATTAAAAATAAACTTTAACAAGAGTTTGCTCATTGCTCTTGAAGATAATGAGATCTTGCAACATAATCTGGCTGGCATGTTAAATTGTAAAAGTGGTAGTTTTCCTATCACTTATCTTGGGGTTCCTTTGAGACCTGGAAAATTAAAAAAAGAGGATTGGTCTCCTATTATTGATAAGTTTGAAAGAAGATTGTCCTTATGGAAAGGAAAGTCTTTATCAAGGGGAGGAAGATTAGTGCTTGTTAATGCAGTTCTTTCCTCTATGCCAATTTTTTGGATGTCTTTTTTCTTATTTCCAGGGTGGCTTATTGATAAAATAGATATGATGAGGCGAAGATTTTTATGGACTGGGTCTTTGGAACACAAAAATTCATCTAATTTGGTTAAATGGGAAGAGATTTGCAGACCCAAAAAGCTAGGTGGCTTGGGTATTATAAATTTGAGAACTATGAATAAAGCTTTGTTGGGAAAATGGATTTGGAAATGGTTTGATGATAAGATGGATCTATGGAAAAAAATAAGTTTCTACAAGTATTTTGAAAATAAAAACTGGTCAGATTATTTTTGTTCTGACAAAAAATCCCTATCTCATTTCTGGAGGGTTATTTTTATTAATGTTGATAGCTTTTTATGCAGTACTAGTATAGATGTGGGGAATGGACATAATACTCTTTATTGGCTTGATAAATGGACAGGTGCAAATACTCTGGCTTCTATGTTTCCTTCTCTTTATAACATTGCATCATTCCCTTATGCTACTATTACCAGTTTGAGGAAAAAATTAAATAATGATTGGATTTGGGATATTAAATTTCAAAAACAGCTGACAGGAAATCTGGTCTTTCAATATTATGATATGTTGAACAGTATTATGCTTATTAATTTTGTTCACAGGGAGGATAAGAGAAAGTGGATTTGGGAAGCAAAAGACAAGTTTACTGTTAAAACATATTATCATTTTCTTATTGATGGAGGCTCAAGGTATGACTGCTTAAATCTTTGGAAGCTTTCTGTTCCTCTAAAAGTGAAATTTCTGGTCTGGTTGGCTTTGAGAAGTAGTTTAAATACGAAAAAGAATTTAGTAAAGAAAGGTATTCACATGGATGTGCTGTGTTGTTTTTGTTCCAAGGAGGAGGAAAATCACCTTCATCTTTTTGTTAATTGTGAGTTTGTATACTCTATTTGGAGATCTGTCCAGTTTAAATTGAATATCAAGAAAGATTTCAAGTTATCTTCCTTAAAAGATATTTGGAAGAACTGGAGTGATGAGAAGTATGATAGTGGGAACATAGAGAGAGATGTGATTCTTTGTTCTCTGATATGGTGTATTTGGCAGGAAAGAAATGATAGAATTTTTTCAAATAAGAAAAGGAGATCATTAGAACTTTTGAACAAAATTTTGACTTTTGCAAAATTTTGGATAGGTTCTCAGGTATATGATCGTGCAGCTAGGCTACAAGAGAGGAGGAGGAAAAAAGCTGCTTCTGTTGCTGGAATTTCAATTTCCACAGCTGGGGGGGTGATTGATCTGCTGGAATGAAGACTAAGCCCAAGAAAGAAGTCTGCTTTTGTGGTCTACATATGAAAAAATGTATATGTGTTGATCTTTTGATACAGTTTTTGATATTTTGTTATCAATTGCTAGGGGGTGAAGAATTTAGGTGAATCTGACTGTAAAACTTTGACAATCCAGGGTATTCATTCTTGGTTGGGGATGAATACTTTTTTTTTGTAACAACCAATTTTGTTTAATTTAGCTGGCTGGATTACTATGTTGGTAATCCATCCTTTTTCTCAAAAAAAAAAAAGAAAATGATCCAGACCCAATTTACCACCAAACCCTCAGAAAAATCAATTGACGAGGAAAATTAGCGCGAAAACATCGAAATCCTTACAGAGTTAGCACGCAGCGTGAGACTTGCTGGCCCTTTTCGAGGCATTTCTCAGGATTCGGATCCTTCTTCTTGCAGTTGATGAACGCCATGTTCTCCGATCTGCACGCCGCCGCGATGTGCTTAGATGACGCCATCAGAACCGCCGACGTCGGGATCGGGTTCCCCGATGCATCGACGGCCGAGCTCGTCGCCATTGAACGATTCCTGAAGAAGAATATCGAATTAGGGTTAGGGATTTGGGATCAAGAATTAGGGTTAATGTTGAAGCTCGTCGTCTCACCTCAGCAAAAGATTTAGAAAAATGGTGATTTTGAGCGCGAGCAAAGGAGAGAGGACTGGCAGAGACTTGGAGTCCGTTTATGCCGGCGACATCGGGTGGACATAGGGTTGCAAATGGGTCGGATTTTACGTCGGGTCTGTAAACTGAATCCGGATCCAATATGAAGATACCTTATCCGTAGGGGTGTTTTTGGTCCGGACGGGGGCTGGGATATAATACTTATTATATTCATCTACGTTTTCTCAATTCGGATAAGGATACAAATATATCTCGGTAAGCAAAATTTATATCTTTTTCCGTTAAAATCGGATACGGATACGAATGTACATGTGGATATATAAACGGTTATGGATACGGATATAAAATGTATATGAAAAAACTAGATGCTATTGAAAAAAATATAGTTCACATGATACGAAAGATTTCATTAGGATGTTCATTATATCTGAAAAGCTAAGATTAGATATCTTGATCGTCAAAATTAACCTCAAATCTACAATCAAAAGACTAAAACCATTGTAACAATATGACTAATATGTATTCAGATATTTTGGATATGGTTCCGGATATTTCACTATAAAATTATATCTGTAACCACATTATATCGGTTATAAATTTGAGTAATTATATATGTATCCTAACGGATACGATTACAAATATTTCCTCAGATACGAATATGGTTGAGCACCCCTGCTTATCTGTATCCAAATCGTACCAATCAGGGACAATTTCGATTGGAATGCGGGTTGAACCTAATTCCAAGGAGCCACCTTAGATTGAATCTAAAGATGCACCTCTCAATGTATGGATTGTACTATTTCAATGGATGATCCACTCCATTTATCATGATCTAAATGTCTTAAAGCATCTACAAAATAAAAATCATGATGTCGATGTCTGATATCACACAGTCAATGAGAGTTGTCCGCGGGTGACGAAGACTGAGAGGATGAGAGATGGGGCCGACTCCTCCTTCGACTTTATACCTGATATTTGGACTGGAATTCCTGATTCTTCTGCATAAGCAAGAATGAACCCGTAAGATGGCGGGGCTAGTTTCCCCCGTGGTACCTCCGACGGTCAAGTCAGCTGGTGAGCTTGAGTGGGGTTTGAGGGAGAATCCCAGGACCATTGAGGCCCTTGTCAGGGGGTACTCTTTTAGAGATATCAGCGAAAAGAAAATAGATTCCATGGGAGAAAATGCTCCTCCGAATTTAATAAAGGTCCAGTCTCTTAGTAGAGTCAAGATTAAAAGAAAAGAGCGGAGAGCGGAGAGCAGAAAGCAGAACCTTTTTTCCTTACACTCCTTCCTCCCTTTTATAGTCCTTTGCCTCTGATATTCTAACCCTTGGCCTTGACTATGCACAGGGGGGCGGGGTGGGAGGAGTAGACAGAATGCTGAGTCATTCCCAGCTTTACAGATGTCAACTGACGATTGGAAGGGAAGTCATTCGAGCACGGGAGAGGATATCTCCAATGTATCCCGGATTTTGACAGATGAGGCATTACGGAAGATAGGATGGCTGCTTAGTTATTCTTTGCTTTACAGATGTCGGTTGATGATTGGAAGGGAAGTCATTCGAGCAGATATCTTAGTGATATCTGGGAAACAATTTGTGAGCGGAGTAAGTTGTTTATGCCTGAGATTCGTCAGAGTTGAAATCTTGATGGGATCGATCAATACTGTAGCATCGATTGATGTATATCTGAAGGGAGCTGAGTTGGATCTTATCCCTGTAGACGGTAAAAAATACCTCTGTGAGCTTGCAAGAAATTCACCTGAGTAATCAACTCGCCTGCACGAGTCAGAATCAACAGGAGATAGCGGAATTTCGCCTTTTACACAATTCGCCTGCCCGAGTCCAAAGACGAATCCGCCCGCAAACCTCAAGGCTGTCAAAACAACTGGGTATCCGCTACCCCACGTGCCGGTGCAGGCTTTCCCATCCCTCTCGACCTGAGGGGGGAGAGCGCACAGTACTCCAGGACCGTCGAGTAGTCGTTCATAGTACGAGTGATCGGACAGGTGTCAGATCTACCTGAACGTTCATAAATGCGGTTCACCTCACATGTCCAGGTCGAGAGCTGGATCCGCCGGCACTCGGCAAGTTGGCCAGACCCACTCGAGTACTGTACACCTACTTCACCGCCTCTCCTGACCGGAAAGGAGAAGGCACCATGCTCCAAGCACGCCGAACGGCCACACACGGTACGAATGATCGGACAGACGCCAGATCAATCTACGAACTCATAAATGCGGTTCATTAATGCTGGTCAAATCCACTCGAATAGTGGGCGGCCGTTGCCTCACATACAAGGATGGGCCTTCCCATTCTATGTGACACGACATAAAGCACAATCCCTCGAATGACTATTCATAGTACCGAGAGGCGGTAAAACGTCTCTCAATAGGATATGGTCACATCCCATGATTCAAGGAGCGGCCACGCCATCTCTCCGCTATTTAGGAACTTCTTCTACCCACGAAGAAAAGGGGGTTCACAGTTGAGTTCATTTCAAGTGCAGTCCAGTGAGGTTCAGCTCAGCTCAGCTTTTCTTCTAAGTCAAGAAGAAGAGATTCAGTTGTTTAGCCGTGCAAGCGATTCGCTCATAGTTGAACCAGCTAATTGAACCACTAGCTCTCGATCCCCAATACGATCGAAGCCAAGCTGTTTGCATAATCCTTGCATTACAGCGCCACTGCCTAGTTCTGAGCTCCGATCGCCAGCGAACTAAGCAGACCCGAACTCCATCGACTCGAGCTTCTACTGCGTACTGAAGCTCTCCAGCAACCTCGATCGAACGGTCCAAGGGAAGCAGACTCGACGCAAGCATCGAGCGAAGCATCCTGTAGCCACCTAAAAGTCCCCACACTAAACAAAGAGGGCATTCCCTCTGCTTCTATTGTAATTTTGATTCATTAGTTTGTAAAAGTCCCCACACTAAACAAAGAGGGCATTCCCTCTGCTTCTATTGTAATTTTGATTCATTAGTTTGTAATAAGCTTTCTTATCAATACAAACGAAACTCCCTGTTTTCGGGAAATCCAAATTTACACCTACAGAAGATGGCGACCACAGTGGGAGATGATGGCGGAGGGTTCAAGCGCGGAAGTGGCTAAGAAGACCCGTCGCGAGGAAACCATTCGCCGAAGGGTTGTAGGCCGTGGAAGAGAGGTGCTGTATTCGGAATTTGTCGCAGAACCTGGTGAATGCATGGCTAACGAATTGCGTACCATTGTCATGAATAATACGCCGGGGTACGCCGTATCGGTATATGACATGGTGTTTGATAAATTTGATCACGTCATTAGTCTTGACCTCTCTTAAGGGGACGGCTTCGACCCACTTAGAGAAGTAATCGGTGATCGCGAGGATGAAGCGATGACGAAAAGTCTCCGCGACCGCCGTCGTCTCCCCAGTGGGCGCCTCGTTGGAAGGTAGGCCCGGACGCAGGCCAGTCACCCGTTTGCAAGAGCTTTCCACCCCGTACCCAGCTGTGGAGCCTGTGAAGACGCCGCAAGTCACCCCGTCTTGAGTAGGGGTCAAATCCCAATTCATCGTCCTCGGGACCGCGAGGGAACGCAGCTCGACGATAGAAACCCCCTCGGCATGTTAGGAAGATAATAGTGGACCCCGTCCATTTCGCGAAGCCACCTGCTCTCCTTAATCAGCAAGGCGGAAGGATCGGTCATGGCATCGCCGAACAAGAACTGGGGCTTGTGTAACTCTGCTCTGGCCTTGTCTGTCAACACCGCGTCGGTAGTCAACTCGCGCAGCGTTAAGTGGTGCCCGTCAGTGACTCTCCTTATCAAGCCATCCGGCTTATCAGCAGAGAACACAGGCACCAGATTCAAAGAGGGAAATCGCGGAGGCGCCGTATAGCCTGTGCCTCCGGCGAGACCGATGGCCACGCCCTTCGGAAGAGCTTCGTCAGAAAAGGCCACTGCAAGAAAGAACCAAAAAGTCAAAACGGGATCCGCCCTAAGGATAAATCCGCCAATCAAGTAAAGACGGGTGAATTCGCCTGTCAGAAGGCAAAACCCGTTTAACAAGAACAAAGTCTGCCTAATGAAAACGATACCCCCCTTTACCGGAGAAAAAAAGTCGAACTCGCCTATCAAAAACGGGTTCGCCTTCACCCAATAAAGGTCAATTTCGCCTGTGGAGGCAGAAGTCGTCCTCTATGAGCAAACACAAAATCCACCCAAAAAGGGGCCGACTTTGCCCTAAATCGGGGAAGCTGCCAAAGATGATTAAATCCAGGGAAGACAAGCAATGCTCATTCCTCCCAACCCGACATCTGTAGCCTACGCAAAGTAGTCAGACTAACCTCTCGACTTACCCAAATGCGTATCAGGTATGCTGACGGGTGCGCCGGCGGCGAGGCGGTCGGAATAGCGTCCGGGACCTCCTCCTTTTGCAACACACCTCTTAGATTTCGACGCCATTGAGGGGATTAAGCGGGAACTCTCTCTCGTTAGAAAATTTCCAAGATTCTTGAGCACGGTAACCCTCAAAAGAAGAGGACAACCCTTTTTGAAGGCGAAGTTGCCAACGTGGCCACGATCGTCCTCAAAAAGCGAAGCACCGGCGGACAAGAGACGCAACCACGATCGAAATCAACGGCCCAGATTGCCCCCGATATTTCGAAGTGCCACGTCAAGACGAGAAACGGGCCGATCGAAAACCCGGGACCCGAGTCGAAATTGACGGTTGTATCCAACGGCCAGGTTCGAAAACTACGACCACGATCCAGACGAGGCGCACGAGGCTCACGTCATAATGCGACGTGATGGAACCACGCCGTCTTAGCTAGGAAGCACGAAGCCCACCAGCGGACGCGTGGCTCACCCACGCTGAACCTAGTCTCGCCCGAAAGGAAGGGTCTCGCCCGCGAAAACTCAACTTCGCCTGAACGGCTCATTCGCCCTTAGAGACAAACGACAAATAACGCGACTCGCCCCAAACTTGGAACCGCCTACGAGATGACCTTGCTAAAACCCACGCCTCGAATGGCTAAGGGTTAGAGCAGAAATCTTAGCAACAAGCCTAAGAGAAACTGCTCGACAACTCATCATACTGAGGGGAATAGTATGGCTAGCCCGATTCAAACGGTAATCGGTAAAGGCACATCAAACCCGTTGATAGCGG